GGACAAATGGTGACCACATGTAGAGGCCAAGTTAACCAAGGCGAAGTCGCCGAGGAGAACTGACTTTATCGATGACCTTGATCGTTGTTTGTTCTAGGACATGGCTTTGTTACTAAATACAAGATGTACGACCAAAACACTTGTGGTTACACAGCAGGAAAGGCTGTGGTGATGTTCTCCGCTAACAAGAGCATTGAGGAAATGCAAACTGGTGGACTATTGTCTTCCTGTACAAGGCAGTTTGCTCATTGATGCCTGTGGGCCGGAGAAGGGTGCAGTGGTAAATGCGAGCGATGGAAGGCTGGCACAAGACCACTTATCATCCAAAGGGCCTTTTTACAAAAACAACCCCACAATCCCACAATGCCATTCTCTGCCTGTGTCCACAACAAAGAGCCCTCTGAAGCCCACATTCTACAGCCTCATTCAACCCCTCTGACCCTGATGCACTTTCTGCTTTGTGGGTCTTTCTCTAGTTTAACTTTGGCTGAAGAGAGCTGATTATATTCGCTGGTTAACAGTCATGCTACTATATTTATGCAAGGTGGTAGTAGTGGAGGGAGAGTGTACACTGGAAAGTTCAAATTTTATCTCTCAAGTGTGCAGTAAGTGAGAGGCCTGCGTGTAGTAAATGAGAGGTATTTCAAAAGCAGTTTCACACAACCGACTGTTGCAGAGCAGATCAGAGTGAAGTGAGCAGCTGGGAAGGAAATGAGAAACTCCTCTTTGCTTGGAACTGCACTCACCGCAGAGCAAAAGTTTACAGGCAAAAGGGCTGAAGATTCTGGCTATTAGTGACTCAGTATTTGTGTCTCATGACTCTAAAGTCTTGACACTTTACACAACCCTCCACAACCTCAGTTTGTAAAATTACCTTGCACAATATTGCACTTAACTTTTACAGATATTTCTTGACTTTTAAATATTTGTACTTATAAATAGTTAGCAGGTAACAAGACAAGAGTTAAGTAAAATGACAATGAATATGAATTGGATAGATGTGTTTCAAGCTGGTCTACGTAACAGCATTGATTGCTGTTTACATACAATATTGACATGATTGGTTAAAAAAAAAAAAAAAAAAATCAATCTGCAACATTTTGCACGTGGACCACATCTAAAAATTGCTGCTATTGAGAAAATGCATCTTAACGCCCCTTATTTTGTTCTCGCTGTGAATGTGGTGAGGTTTATGAAATCCTGTGGAAACGGCGCTACCACAACAGCTACAAAACACCATAGGAAACTGTTAAAGGATCATTTTGATGCAGGTTTTGTCACACTGACAAGATGAACCTGCATTTGTGCACATTTGCACTGTGCAGCAGCTATTGGTACTGACACGTATTAAATCATCACCCAGTTTATTGTGACAGTCGCATGTTTCAAACACTACAGTAACCTTATGAGAGCTGAGAAAACTTTCCCTAAAGCTTGTAAAAGAGCACAGCGTATCGCGGTTAAGAGTTCCACCTCAGTCAGACCAACTCTTCTCGTTTCAGTCGTGAGGAGTTCGTTCTCTGCTGTTTCTATTGTTGAATTGCAGAAGTGGTTTTTTGTCTCAACGACACCTTCAAACCTCATGAATGACAATCACAGTAGTAAAGTGATAAGCAGCAGCGACAGTTTGTTCACGTTTTGGGGAGTTTTAAGAGGTGTTCATCGACCGGGTTTATCCCCAAAAGGCCTCGGCTCTTCTTTTTGACTGACAGTGTCACACTGCACTTTGACCTGGCGAGTCCCTGGCAGGTACTGTATGTGACACCACACCACAAGGTGTATAAGAAGAGTTCACATTTGCTCTTAGGATAAACTTCCTCAACACACCACCCACAAGATTTCACAGCTTATGGGCCACTGCCAAAATCTGGGGTGGTTTGTTTTCGTTGCCAAGCTCCACACCCTCAAGAGGAAGTTGAACTGAGGTCATCACATGACATCATCAGCAGCTCTGTGAATCACACAGTGAAGAGGGAACAGTTTGTGCAATAAAACACATCAAGATTTGGTATTTTTGGAAAGATTTTTGTGAGAAAGCTGGACACAGAATCTCCTCTTCTACTGCAGCTCTGTGCACACTGTAGGTCTCCGTTACTGCCAGCTGTTTGCCTCGAGCACAGGGAGGGGATACGCTATTATTTTTGCATTACGTAATAACAGCAGTGCTACGCTATCATGCAGGAAATATTGAACACACCCACCCCCACCCCCCTAGTCAGGGAATGGTTCTGGGTTATGACTTTACATACTGTACATCAGGACTTGTGCCTAAAATGGGCAGCGTGGTGTATTGGAGGAGAGAGGAACAGCATAACAAAGCAGAGGGACTGATGGGGATAAAGAACATGAATATAAACAGCTGTTTGAAGCTGTTTAATTCAACGTCTGTCCTCTTCAGTAGGAGTGCTCTGCTTTACTAGGACAGCTCATACACACACAGCAGCAATTTCATAACAGAGTGAGCGCGCACTTTGATGCCAATCCCCTCACTTCCCCTCTCACTCACCCTCTTTCTCTTCCTCTCGTGCCATCTCTTACCATCTATGTGTAAAATGTCTTTGTGCACGGCTGCCACACTGCCAGAAATGTCAGCCACGCCGGAGGAAAAGCAGCACCAGCTCTTTTGCGACTCCCGATTGGAACCGCACAGAGAAACGCGTGACGCAATATGACATCTGACTGCCCCCGCCCCCCCCCCCTGCTTTGGTCGGCGTCACCATGCAACACAGTGGGTTCATGTAAAGTCGTGCAGGGACTGTGATGCAGCCGCTCGGCAGGGTGCACCGCAGTGTCAGGCGGGCGAGGGCTGAGCGAGACATGAGCTGGTAAATCTAGACGAGGGTTCACTTAATCCCCCTCCATGTTGGAATGTGTGCAGTCCTCGGTGAGCAAACAGCAGTGTAAACAGGTGGAATAATAATATCACACAGGCAGGGCTTTGTGTTGGGTTACACGTATTACATTTGTGAATTGAATATGTAGTGCATGAGTGCACAGTATGTCACACACTTGTCATCACTTAGGCAGTTGTAAAAAGCAGTTTAGCTTCTGAAGAATAAACTGCTGGTGCTCAAACATTTCTTTTATCAAGAAAAATGCCACAGAAACATTTGCTGCTTTTTTAAAAAAAATGTATGATACTACAAATTGAATATCTTGTTGGTTCTGACCTGTCGATTGTACAAAATGAGTAGTTTGAAGATGTCGCCTTGAGCTCAGTAAAAATGTGATTTCATTTTTTTACTGTTTTCTGAAAATGTGGAGATGAACGACTAATTGGAATCACTGTTCGCTGCCAAACCCTGGCACATAGATGTTGTGCTTTTCCCTTCAGATTCCACTGAACAGAAGGACAAATATTCAGTCTTGTATTACAGTACATGTTTGTTATGTACACACTGTATACAGCAGGCAGTGCATTCTTCAATGAGGAGAGCAGCTCTCTGGGATTATTCAATGACGTGTGTGTGTGTGTGTGTGTGTGTGTGTGTGTGTGTGTGTGTGTGTGTGTGTGTGTGTGTGTGTGTGTGTGTGTGTGTGTGAGAGAGAGAGAGAGTCATTTATCAGGAACCGCCCTCAGCCTCATTCATGGCCCTAGTAGTCCGCAGCCGCAACACTGATGGACTACATGGTGCAACCCAACCCGCATGTCACACCTACAGCATACCTGGCCAAAGTAGCCTTCATATAAAAGTGCAAATATTGACACAGTCCTATTTCCTTTCAGTGGAGTAAATAATACGGTGGCTAATTAGCCAGAAGTCGGGTCGTTTATTGACTTATTGTCTTTGCTATGAGGCCGAGGCAACCTTAGACTGCGATTGGAAGTGTGTTTCCCTCGTCTTTGCCAAGAGACCAGAGGACACCTACAGAGCTTCCACACGGGGGTTTTCAGTGGCTACTAATATGTGTGTTAGTCATATTGTGCATCTATATGAATTTGAGATTTTGCTGTACTGTTTACACAGTGATTGTTCGCTGTTTTTATATTAGGACATTTTCAGGCTGAACATATATGAATACCGTAATATGTAAACTGTAGGAGATGATTTTATCCTCATACCGGCCCCAAGCTGCTAGTGCTGTGTTAGTGCTGCAACAAGTGATTATCTTCATCATCAGTCGATTGATTTCACTTCAGCAGTAAATCTGGAGTGAAATTTTTTTTTAAATTTTTTCTGACCAACAATAAAAAAAAAAAAAATGTAAAAAAAAAAGATGAATTAAAAATTCAGAAAGTTAAGAAAATCCCAACATGAAGGGAGGAAAATATTTGAGCTGTACCACCAGGTTTTATCAAAGAGTCCCAGGAGGGGAAGGTCACACAGTCTCATTACCGTGAAGCGTCTCTGGTAAGACACAGTAGCAGAGCCGTTACACTGCTTTCTCGTGATGTCCGTGTTTAGCGCGATTGTTTTCAAAAAATGAAACGGGACCTGCAGCACGCACCATAAACATCTGGTGGTGATATCAAAACTTCACGTGACACATGGAGGATTATTCAAAGTATCACGTTTGTTATCTTTGCCGACTTGACATCATTTGCATTCNAAAAGATGAATTAAAAATTCAGAAAATTAAGAAAATCCCAACATGAAGGGAGGAAAGGTCCCCAGGAGGGGAAGGTCACACAGTCTCATTACCGTGAAGCGTCTCTGGTAAGACACAGTAGCAGAGCCGTTACACTGCTTTCTCGTGATGTCCGTGTTTAGCGCGATTGTTTTCAAAAAATGAAACGGGACCTGCAGCACGCACCATAAACATCTGGTGGTGATATCAAAACTTCACGTGACACATGGAGGATTATTCAAAGTATCACGTTTGTTATCTTTGCCGACTTGACATCATTTGCATTCCTTGTCCTGCTATTTCAGAGTTTAGCTTTTTGCTAGATGGGCATGATTATAAGTGGCATTTAAGTTGTGCCACTTTATTTATTCTCTTGTTGTTCTTGAATGCAGCTGTTTTATTTTATGTTTTTTTTTTTTTCCTGTCTGCAGCTTTTCGACCGCGTGAGGGAGGACAACCCCGACTTCCACCAGAAAATCATCCCCATCAGCAGCGAGCTGATGCAGCCGGGCCTGGCCATCAGCCCGGAGGATGTGGAGAAGCTCACCGGCTGCATCAACATCGTCTTCCACTGCGCCGCCACCATCCGCTTCGACGAGCCGCTCAAGTGAGGATCACAACACGCTCACCTTCTCTTTACCATCCTCTCATACATTAACACAAAGCATACTCTGCCTGCACGCTTTAGCTCTTCTAAAAAACATTCGAAAACCAGCTTCTTATTTTATTTTATTTTTTTGTGGATTTCACTGAGCCAGAGATTTCACCAAAGACATGGACAACTTCACATTATTGTTGGGTAAATGTTCCTCCTTGCAGGAGCTTCCTGTTGTGAGACGTCACTCCAGAGGAAACGTTGCACTGTTTTATTGATCTCAAGCAAAGAGGAAGCAGAACAGCAGGATGAGGATGTGGAGAAGTCAGCTGTTTTTGTAAAAACACAGAGTCACCTGCAGTACAACAATAGATGGATCTGTCTGTATTCAGTGAGGCACAGATATTGAAATTAGAAGGTAATAATGAGACAAATGGGGAGTTTTAACCATGAATATCTCCTCATGGTTCCCAGAGGATGAGCTCTGATGACTTTACCTGCAGCTCCACCATCAGGTCGACACTTGCTTTGACAGATTTCCATGAAATGTTGTCTTAACATTTGAGTCTTAATACTTTAGTTTATGATCAAAAACCTGCAAAATAATAATTCCCATCAGCCTCAGATGTACTTAGTGTTCGGTGCTAATTAACCTATGATAAACTAAGATTGTACACAGTAAAGGATACTCCTGCTATATATTGGCATTTTGACACGGTCACAGTGAGCATGTTGCTATTCTAGCTTTTTGCATTTAGCTCAAAGCTTCACTGTGTCTGTTTACGTCCTCATAGTGACATCACAGACTAAGCACACTGTGCATGCATCCCTTTCTCTATCGACCCTGAAGGGCACAAAAAACCATCCTCAACAGCAGCATGTTCCTTTCTCGTTTCATTAACGGCGCAGAGGAACTCATAAATAATGGTCCATTACTGTGACAGTGGCCATCTGCTGATCCCAGGTCTGCTTTGATCCTCTGTCATCAGCTTGTCGTGCCACCTCAGCTTCACCTGCTGTAGGATAATGAAGCTACAGCAGGAGATTTCGATGAGGCAAATCGCAGCTTCACTTTTTCAATTAGCCGAGCCGCGGTTGTGAGCGCTGGTCTGAGGTCTGTATGTCAGAGCGCCGCGCTGACACTGAGCTGATGGAGAGTAGGAAAACTATCTGTTTACACTGTGTTTAAAACTATATACAAACACACAGACATGTGTTCCACTGAGACAAAGAAGTCTCAGTGGAACACATGTCCCTTAAAACAACATTTAGATCATAATGGTCGGAGCTAAATAAAATATTTTTTAACAATTGAACAAATAAATAAAATGAGCAGGGTTTTGTTGGGGGCTCATCAGACTCCTAGGTTGGTGAACCAGGTGAATTCATTACTTCAGAAGCACTGAAGTCCAAGCGAGGACCACGCATCAGGCCTGTATAAAGATATTTTATTTATAGAGATACTCAGACACTTCAGAAGAATTGTTAAAAAAAAAACCTCAAAAGACACAGAAAGTTCAAGGCAGCGGAGGGGATTCATTCAAACATTAAAAACAGCTGTAAAAAGATCATTTTTGAATAAATTCTTAAGATAAATCGAATTATTTCCAATATGAGTAAAAGAGGAAGAGTGCTACTGCTTCATCACAAGCAGTTTTTATCAAAGCCCCAATTGTGTGTGCGTGCGTGCGTTCGTGTGTGTGTGTGTGTGCGTGCGCGTGCGCATGTGTGTGTCACTGCCCCTTCAGGAATGTGACAATAGACAATAAAAGGAAGCTGTTTTGATCATTTGCATCTAATAAACAAAGGAAAGTGGACGTGGAGTTTGTCGACCAGCAAGTGGAGAAACTGTGGAGCAGAAAATGTAGAGTGCAGCATGCATGTTGGATTTTATCTGATAGAGCATGTTATATATATGTATTTGTTGAAAAATATGTTGAGGTCTTTTTGGAGGCGGGACATTTATTAGATTTGAGTGATAGTTCAGTTTGGATAATCTCTCTCTCTCTCTCTCTCTCTCTCTCTCTCTCTCTCTTTCTCTCTCTCTTCCTTCCATCTTTCCCTCTGAGCGACCTTCACCTCCTCCTCTTTTTCTTTCTCTCCACCCTTCTCCATGGAGCTTTCACGCCTCTGTTCACTCTTTTCTCGTGCTTCCCTCCCCTCTCTTGTCATCTCTGGGAGCCATTACTCTGGTGCAGCGGCCGCAGCCTTGTAAGCAGAGCGGAGGCATAAATCACACGACTCGGGCGTCTCTGTTTAAGGTTGGAGACTGTTCATGCTGACAACCTCGGCTGCTTTATCCTCCGCAGGTCTTTATTCACACTTAAAGGATCATTCCTGTTTATTCAAACATGGATATTATTTTGATAGGTTTGGCTCTCGTTTCTAACTTTAATATTTACATTTCACTCAGTGAAGTAATCCCTCAAATCTCAGTCCATCGGGGCAGGAAACACGAACAGTCAGACGCTCAGACCGGTTTTAAAGAAACCCATAGGTCAGGTCAAATTAGACCTGGACTAACTTTGATTAATCTAACCCATAATTTGTCAGTTAATTGTTTTGCTGTTTTGTCTGTAAAATGTCACCAAGTGATGAATCGTTTTGTTTAACTAATTGTTTCAGCTCTACATGAAATTATTACCCAAACCTTTCATTTTAAACATCCCTCTACCACCTACTGTACCTGCTGTGGTGGTGTATGTGTTAAATGCATTGAGGGATATTAATTATGTTTTCTATTAATCTTTTTGAAAAGTGAAAGCGCTTTTTTTTTTTTTCGTCCAATCTAGAGTCTAAAACCCAGAAATATTCAGTTTTACTATCACATGAGACACAGGAAAGCAGCAAATCATTGCAATGTGGGAATACTGAAATAAATACTAAAAATGAATTATCAGAATAGCTGCGGATTAATCAACTAATCGCTTCAGCTCTGATTAAAAGCATCGCGGGTGTGACCACATCCACTTTTTTTTTTCCTCCAGATAAAGATGTTGAGATCAGCCGTCGCTGACTTCTTTTGGCTTGTGAGCCTTTTTTAAAAGGAAGTAAAGTGAACTTGTCACACGGGTCAAAGAGCGATTTTATCTTCTAATATTGTTATTCTGGATAAAGTTTTCTAGACATTAAAAGGTAAAACTATCGGTATTTTACAAACAATAGCAAAGATAAGTGTGTGGAAAAATAAAGATGTTTTACGGTAGAAAATGTTGTGACCCTCGGATCTATTTAGAGACGCCAGATTTAGAACTACTGGTTTAGATGTGAGGTTATAAAATGCCAACACCATCTGATGTCTGACTTTGTTGTAGTAATCAATTTAATGAGTTATAATGAAAGTGTGATTTAAGGAACCTTCAGATCAGAGCCGTGCAGTTCTTCGCTTGTTACATCTGAATCGTCGTAACGGCACAAACAGATGGGTGATGAGTCAGCTGCAGGAAGGGCCACAGCGGTGCGTCCATCTTTTCCCGACTGTCCTTCTGGTGTGACACCCAGCATATGGTCCCAGAAGGTGGCGGGAAGATGACACGCCCACACACAGAGCGTATCCTCTAATAACCACCTTCACCACTACCACCACCCCCTCCTCCTATCGACACAACTGCTTGTTCCTCACCGCCGCTAACAAGCTGGCACCACCTGACAACATCTGATTCATGCCAGCGGAGCCATCACCCACAGCACCACCGACACACACCGTCCATCTCCCGCTCCCTCTGCCTCTTTTTCTGTCTCACACACACACACACACACACACACAGACACACACACACAACCTCACGAGCACCGCCTACACACAGAGGCAGTATGTCTCGCAGTGTCTGGTTAAACTGACCCTCGGTTTTTCTTGCTGTCGCCTCGGGCAGAGTGGGCAGTGTGCTGCTCTGCTCCTGCTGCAGAGTTGATACAGGTCCAGGTTCAGTGTGTGTGTGTGTGTGTGTGTGTGTGTGAGACCCACAGGAGGTGTTGAAGCATTTAGGGCTGAACAATCAGTTTTCTTTCTCAGGTTGCCTTTTTTTTTTTTTTTTTTTCTCCTCATTCCTTTCAGGAAAAGATCTTTCGATGATAAACGTCGCCTTTGTCGTCAGAATTTTTTCTCGGGACGAGTCGGTATAAACCTGCTTCCTGTCAGTTTTTTTTTTTTTTACTGTAGTTATTCCCAATACTCATCAATCTCGTTTTTTACTTGAGGTTGTAGTTGTGTTCTTGTTTTCGTTGTGTCTCCTCATGTTTTTGTTTTATGAATCATGTGACTTGTCTGCTGTGACACTGCAATTTGGATTATCTTTATTAATCAATAACTGAACTGATTAATCATTGAGATCATCAGAGATATTTCTCTGGCTGCGGTAGTGACTGTTGTGTGTTGTGTGGTGGTCGTTCAGTGATATATAGTAAATCATCACACATACATGGAAAACATTGTACAACATACTTGAGCAATATTCTACTTTATTATTTGTCATGCAAATAAGAAAAGTTTTGGACGAATTATTTGTCATTTATCAATCAAACATCCTCTGGTTCCTGCTTCATAAAGACAAAGGATTTGCTGCTTTTTGCTGTTTTATATCATCGTAAATAAAATGTCTTTTGGTTTTGGAGAAATTTGAAAATGTCACCAAGAGACTGTGGAATTTTTCTCCATTTTCAGGCATTTTATAAACACGACTTTTAATCTATTAGTCAGAATTAAGTTTGTTGATGAGTAATCATAGTTTCAGCTCTAATTCTGTCCCATTTTGTTTCTATTGTTCCTTTTTTCTCTGTCTCCCTGTGTTACTCAATTGTCTCTCACACACCTGCAGGATTTGTTTTCTTTCCTGGCCCCTGTGATTATGCACATTTCATCACATGGTGTCATGCGGTCTTGTCATTTATTGATGTAATTTATGGAGAAATTAGAAACGCTCGGATTGATTTGCTAATGGAAATCCGGCAGAATCATCACGTCAGTGGCTTGTATAGGTCAGAATCACAAATATGGCGTCGACAGTTTTATAATCTGAACAATAGAAGATGAAAGAAATCCGCCAAAAAGAAAAACTTCAGGAAGAGGAAAGGAATCATCTTCCAGGATGTAAATGAGAGAGTGCAGAGGAATGAGCTGAAGCTGTGATTTCAGAACGGTTAACTCTGCAGCTCTGAGTGTTTGCTGAAGTGCCCGTCGCTGGATGAGTGGTAGTATCAGCTGAAAACAGTAGAAATAATGATGCGACTAAAACATTTACGAGAAGAACAGATGTTTACTCTCTCTCTCTCTCTCTCTCTGTCTCTCTCTCTCCTGCGTTCTGTCTCGTCCTCTCTCTCTCTCCTCTGTGTGTTTCCGTCCCTTCCTGTCGCTCTGCTCCGGCTTATAATCATGTTGTGCAAATTCCTACTAGTCTGCAAATTGTGATTTGAATGAAACACTCAGTCGTCAGCAAACACAAACGTTCTTGCATGCAAATGTTCAAACTGGGATATTAGCAGTCTGACAAATGCGTGCACACACACACACACACACACACACACACACACACACACACACACACACACACACACACACACCCTCAAAGCCTTTTTTCCCTACCCACACAATTAATCTGAAGCGCGCAAACACACCCTTTCCTCCCCCCACCCACACACACTGTTTAACTGTGTGTCTCCCTGCTCTCTCTCCGGCAGACACGCCCTGCAGCTGAATGTAATCGCCACGCAGCAGCTCCTCAGCCTGGCCCAGCAGATGCACCACCTCGAGGCCTTCATTCACATCTCCACCGCCTATGCAAACTGCAACCGCAAGCACATCGATGAGGTCATCTACCCGCCGCCCGTCGAGCCCAAGAAGCTCATCGAGTCTCTTGAGTGAGTGGATGAAGGGCTGGGTTTTTATTTTTTTTTGTGCCTCGAGGACACGAACTCGTTCTCCAGTTCAGCTAGATTCACACCGTGTCGAGCAAAGTGTCTCTGAAGGCTGATAATGTGCTTAAAAAGTTAATATGACACACCTGAAAAGCCAAGTTGTATCTGCTTTTTCACAACTGATACTAAAACAGAGTTTGGGAAATAAAATATATATTTTCATCTGTTAGTGTTTAATGTTGTAAAAACATGAGCAATGTTTCCTAAAAGGATCCGTCATGATAAAATATATTTAAAAAGACCAAAGAGGAGAATCTCACCTGCTTTTCAGTTACAACTTTTTATCCTTGACACTTTTAGTTCTTGATGCTACCGACACGTTTCAAGTTTCATATCCAGCCCCGGTTCCAAATCACTGCCCACATCTTCGATTTGTTCAGTGATTCACACAGAAGAAACGGAGTAGAATGAATGATGTGACATGAAATGAATGGCAAGAGATCAGAAACTACTCTCCGGAAAATAAAATATCGGTTGTACACGTGGGACGTGTATGTGTGATGTATTGAATCCAGGTTTGGTTTGTTAAATTAAGAATGAAGTGGAGGTTTATGGAGAGGTGGTGTGTCTATAAAGTTTTTATCACTGTACAAACACCTGAAAGCAGCTTTTCATCGCTGTCGGACAGAGCAAATGTAAGGCAGAGGAAATATCTGCGTTAACGGTCAAATACTTCTTTCATGGCTTATTTATTATTTATCTTTTACATTACATTCATTAAAATGATTATTTTGTATCTGGTACTTTCTGGTGCACTAGAAGATAATAGACTGAAACTGCTATTTAGGAAGCGCTCGGGATAAACACTCGTGCACACAGTACACCCTGTGTGTGATAATTATTAATGATAATGATCCAAAAATGTGTAAACAATCAGTAACACATGTAATGTATTCACTTCTCTGACTGCGTATCGGCTTTCTGTCGCCAGGTGGATGGATGACGGCATCGTGCGAGACATCACACCGCGGCTCATCGGCGACCGGCCCAACACCTACACCTACACCAAAGCCCTGGCCGAGTACGTGGTGCAGCAGGAGCAGGACAAGCTCAACATCGGCATCATCAGACCCTCTATAGTGGGAGCCAGCTGGCAGGAGCCTTTCTCCGTGAGTCCACACAACATTTTCCTCACACAGCGTGAAACCACTTGTAATATAGTCATAGGTGATTAACACCAGAAAAGACTCTCGCCCTGACCTCAGTGTGGTCTGAACAGTGGTTATTCTGGCTCCTTCTCTCTGTGGTGAATGTTAATCAACATGTTAAACACTCATGAATAACCCGCTCACCATTTCTAGATCCCCTCCCCCCACAGCGCGGTCCCCTGTGACAGTAAAACGAATGGAAATAAGATATTGATCGATGTAATCCTGCACGAGTCAATACCGCTCCCCTGTGGGCTTTATCTTAAGTGGCCCAGGATTAAAGCAAATTGGTTAATATCTCGGCTGAAGACCCGTGTGATCCAACCGAGCCGTCTTCAATCCACCCAAACAGCTGTTGGGACGGAGCGGTGACGGCGGCAGAAATAAGACGGCGAGGACGGAGGCGTGCTGACGAACTGAACGTCACAGGAAGCGTGGGAAGTCCAGAGAAGTTCAAGTGGAGGCTGCTCACATGGAGAGAGGACTTAATACTGAAAGCTGAAAGTTGCACGACTTCCGTGATTAAGCAGCTTTCAGTCTAGTTGCTGCAGGCGTCTCCAACATTTTGCATTTCACTGAGTCAGGGATTTAAGTCTCGCACTGTGGGACACTTTAAACCTGTCTTTAAGTATCAGCCACTGTTTCGTCGCATTCATTTAGAGGTGATCAGTGTTTGTCACTGCTTGTTGGGTAAAGGCCCGATCTGTAACTTTTCATCCCTACAAATTACAGTTATTTTCACATATAATGAAAAAGCTTAAGTTGTCGAAGAAAAGCGAGCAGTGTCCCTCAGCTGATTTTGATATTTCAAAATATAGATGTTTCAATAATTTTACAAAATTTCTGATGTAAACAAAACATGAATAACTTCAGAACAGAGGTTTTAAAGGGGGATGCCAAACATTTGCTCATTCCAGCTTTTCAAATGTCAGGATTTGCTTTTTCTCTGCTTTCATATTATTGTAAAATAAATTTGCACTGCAAATAATCATTATTTTCTTTATCGATTAATCTGGCTCTACTCTTTTTCCGATGAATCATCTATAAAATGTATTAGAATTGTGGGGGGTCTTTTATGCCTTTTTATTAGATAGCATCAGTGGAAGCGGACAGGAAATGCAGGGAGCGAGTGAGTCGGGGAGTGACATGCAGGAAATGGTCCGGCTGGCTTTATAAGTCGAACCGGGGACTCGTTGCTCAGGGCATTTGAGCCCACATGGTATGCGCCCACTTACCGGTACTAGATTTTTCTTGAGCTTTCAAAGGCATCTCTTGGTCTTTCTCAGTCTGAGCAAAGTGCATCTGCTGCTGATGAAGACTATGAGGTTGAAAGCTCCAGAAAAACCTTTTAAGAAGACATTGAGTGTTTTTTTTTTTTTTTCTTTTTTTCTTAATCCTCTCTCGCTGCCGAGATGATGTAGCAGAAAAACACAGGAAAGTTTATCTGGTGTCAGGAAATGTAGGCCTTGTGTTTGCGCACTGGGACTGTGACGGCGGTTCCTGGCTCTGTGCTCAACCTTCAGTTGTAAGCTCGGCCTGGCAGCGACTCTTCAAAAGGCCTCACTCACGCTTGGCCCTGCAATCGCCTTGGCAGCTCGTGCCAGTAGGCGCTGTGGGGGTGGGGGAGGGGGGGTGCAGTTTATCTATGTTTGTATTAATGCGTGGTGTGTTTACAACCACGATATACGCATCAGTTCTGTCTCCATGTCTTTTGACATCTTCTGTTTAACCGTCACATATGACTCAAAATGTAAATTGAGAGATGCGTCTCCCTCCTCAGCCTGGCGTGAAGCCATCAGCAGATTGTGGTGCTGAAAACACCTCCAGCCTCAGTGGCCTGTTCATCTCTTGCACTCTATCTGAACCAGAGCTTATTATTAGACTGGAGACAAGAATCAGCCTTGACCACATAATGGGTCTCCAGTCCCTCGCACTGGGAGCTGCAGCAGTCTATAACCAGTGGTTCCATCCATTTTTAATGGAGTCTAATTGAAGTCGACAATCACTGCTGCCCCCCCCCCCCCCCCTTTCCCCGCCCTCCCCCCCCCCCCCCCCCCCCACCCCCCCCCCCCCCCCCCCCCCCCCCCCCCCCCCTCCCCCCCCCCCCCCCCCCCCCATGTTCCCAGCACAGGAATAACCAAGCCTGCGAACAGCTGATTCAACACACGTAAACACACACACACACACGACCACATACATGTTGCTGTTAAGGACGTCTAACTCTGGCATCTCTCTGTCGTTGCTCCTCAGGGTTGGATCGACAACTTCAACGGGCCGAGCGGCGTCTTTATAGCTGTGAGTGGAAAAAAAAAACAAACAAAAAAAAAAACATGTTTCTCTTGAACCTCAAAGCTTTTGAAGTGTCACTAAGACCGGTTTGTCCCGCGTCAGGCCGGCAAGGGTATCCTGCGCACCATGAGGGCCAACAATGATGCGGTGGCTGACCTGATCCCTGTGGACGTGGTCATCAACCTCACCCTGGCTGCTGGCTGGTACACCGCTGTACACAGGTCAGTAAACGCACCCCGAGGTTTGTCCTGAAAGGTCGAAAACCTGCGTCCGTCATCGTAGGAAAGGACTGATAAATCCTCATTGAGTAAAATACTTGTTTTTCAGATTAGACATTTTAAAGAGAATGTTAGGGATGGTAAGTAGGGAAGTAATAATCAAAAATCAAAGAGATCCTGACTTTTAGGCACATTGTTGTCTGTCCCTCTTTACCTGGACTCCATGCAACAAGTTTTCAGGTTCAGTCCCAGACGACTCGAGCTGCTCGAGTCACATTTTCTCAGACCTGATCACAGAGGCCGTGATACAGCTGTCCCCGAGCTGTGTAGTTCTGACATGTGAAATCAGTGGAGTGCCCCCTTTAACATACTGACTTAGACAAGATGAGCATTATTAACCTTTTACTGAAATTCATCTATTTCTATAAATAATAAAACTATAGAACAGTAACATCTTATTTTTTAAAGAAATCATGCAAATAATGATGCAGTTTATTTGTTCAATGTTTTATTTGTATTAACTGACCATCATAATAAATAAATAAAATAAGTGTTTAGTTGTAGGAATATGGGATAGTTCTAATAATATCCTAGAGACCTCAGTAAAAGCACAGGTGAAGATTAAAATATAATGTTTCCTGGTGGAAGAGAGCAGAAACGTGTAATTAGTCAGTGTCTTCTAACACGCACAGTACTCAGCTGCTTGAAAGGCATCAGTGTCTCTCACATCTGTAGCCGTATTAAAAGTTCAAAGTGATAAAAAAGAAATGTCGAAGTTCGACGAGGAATCTTTTAAAAAAAAAAAAAAAAAAAAAAAAAGACAGTCTGGATGAAAACTGAAAATCTAAAAGTTTAACAGCAGCTTTGAGCCGAAGGGCTGAAGAGGAACTTGATCAATCATAAAATAAAGGCTGCAACAGAAAGATTTGGCTCCGAAAAACAAGATTGTTGTCGATGTTCTCAGTTCAGTCAGTTACAAATCAATCCGGTGAAGAGCAAGGGGTCAAGAATGTGTGAAATCCCACCAGATCCACTCTTCCTACGTCACGGTGAAGGTTTTCCATGGCAACGTGTTCCTCACTACTTCATCAAAAACGTCCTACTCAGTTCTTCACGGAATTGACTGGGTCAGATTTTCCAATGCTGGAGACAATGTGGGGAAAAATGAGTCCTGACCAACTCCCTTGTTAATATGAAGCAAGATAATACTTCAGGCGCTGAGGTGGACCACTAGCTTAGAGACCCATATTATAACGAAGTGTAGCCAAAAGTGGAGGAAACAGAACTTATCTCACAAATGTAATAATGTACATAAATACTATAGTGTTGCATGTGTTATGCCAGTTTAATGTACCTGACAACTTGTACTTATTTTCAGAAGGAAAACAGAAAAACAGAAAAATAAGTTAAGTATTAACCCCCCACATTGGAAAGTGTGTTAAAAGGTTAATTGAAGTTATCCCTCAGTTTCTCAGCCTGTATGTGTATTCCGTGTCTTTTAGAGGTCAGCATATGTTGTCTGACAGTAATATGAATTACCTGTGTTTACCTTGTTAAAAGCCCTTTGTTTCATTACCTACATAGTCTGCCTGTCCAGTGTAAGCAGAAAATGTATTTTTATGAGCATTTTTATGACCACCTTCTCCCACACCTCGCAGACCGAAAACGGCGCTGGTGTACAACTGCACGACCGGCGGCATCAACCCGTTCCACTGGGGAGAGATCGGTACGTACATTGTTTGTTGTATTAAAGGGAATAGAAAACCTGTCACATCTCTGCGCCTGCTGGCATCCCACAATATTGTTGTCCCGTTTCGCTTTCATCATCACAAATCAATACTCCAGTGTTGTGACATAATGTCCCTGTGATGTGGTTGTGTTGCTTGTTTTCGGGGGCTCCCGTGGAGAGAGTCTGCCCCCTGCTGGACAGAGACAGAAGGTGGATTTAACAGCTGCAGGGAATTAGTTGGAAAGTAAAACCGATTTTTCTTACAATGAGGTGCTTCTGTATGAATCACCTGATTCCTGAGAACTGAGATAAAACAGGATTTCACTGCGGGGAATATGAATATAATATTTATTTTTCTAAAGTGAGATTTTGTCCATCAAACCAGGTTTTAATAAAAAAAAATTTTTTTTTTAAGATAACAGGGATCTCAGCTCAGTGCAGGTGTTTAAGCGTCATCGGACTGTGTGAAAAATGTGCATTCTTTTTCATTGTTCATCTTTGCGGTTTCTTTTTTTAAAATACTTTATTACATTTCTATATAACCCACACACAATTTCAATAACTCAGAATTGTTGTTAAATAACAATAAATCATAAATCCAGAAAATACAGTTGAGTCACTTAAAGCACAGACTTTCTGAATTTACATCTTGCGTTGTACTACATTGTTTACTTTTATTATTCCACTATCTCTCTGCATTTTAATTATCCACAAATATTTATGTCGAGTTGATATTAATTGGTGCTTTGTTTGAACATAACTGTTCTTATTGTGAGCTCAGGATCTGAGCGATGAAATTACATGTGAGGAGTGAAAGCTCTGGTCGTTTCCCTCTCAGCGGTCATCACACACAGTGGGATTAGAGGCCTCTGGATGTGAGGCTGGCACGATGACCAGCGACCCTCTCTTTCCTCTCAGATTAGCAAACATGCTCCCTTACCGAGGAAATTGCGACCAGATGGCTCGGAGCAGGATTAGGTCTCATCACTGCAACTCGCTGTTATGAAAGAGGAGCAGTGGACTCTAATCTGACTGCCCCAAATGAAAGCTAGGAATGAAGCTAATCTACAACGAGAGGATCAGAAGAGGCTGAAAAACACACAGAAAATTACAAGTTTTTTCCGCAACATGAAATAAAAAAGACAAGTAAAGGAGGACGATCCTGGTCCCTGTCTCTGGCAAAGAATTGTGGGTATTCTGTCCCAGTGTTTTTGTTAAAATCAACTCCGTCCTGGACGTCTGAGGGCAGCTCAAGGTTAGCAGCGATCCTCTCAACCAGGCTGCAAGGAGCTGGGCCACAGCTGGCTGTCACCTCGGATCTGGTCATCTCAGCCCCTGCAACCACCACATATCTGTTGCCATGGAAACAAACGGTGCAAGGCCTAGTTTGCGTGCTATGTGTATGTGTGTGTGTGTGTGTGTGTATATGTATGTATGTATGTGTGTGTGTGTGTGTATGATGTAATGTGTAGTCACATGGCTGCTCTCTGTATCTGTGGATGGCTGCTGTTGGATTCTGGGAGGAGGAGGAGGGGGGTGGTTGTTCTGCCCGGTGGGGGAAATCACTGAGAACCAGAGCTGAAAATCGTGTAATGATTAAGGCCGTCCACGGTTCCTGGAAGTCATGATCCCTGTATAGAAACTGCAATCTGTGTGATTACCTGTTTGTTTGTGGTTAGTGGATGATGGGAAACTTGGTTTGTGTAAATTTGCTTTAAAGGACCTTTTTATTTTATTTTCTTTATTTATTTATTTTTTCTTTTTTTTGTTCAGTGAGTCAGCGCCACTTCTCCACTGACTTGTAGAGCAAGGCTGGACCTCAGAGTGTCTGTCATATACAACCATTACATTCAAATCACAGAGCTTTACATGCACTTAACGGAAAAATACGCACCCACTGATCGTAAAACTCACACTCACCACTGTTTTTAAGGTGTTTCTAAAATTCTTTAAAGCTCTTCTAACAATGTGGATGATAAAAAATATAATGTAATAATATATCAGCTGCATGATTTAAAAAAAAAGAAAAACAAGAAAAAAGATTTTTAATCTGTTTCCCAAGTTACTTTTTTCTTAATTCAAATAAAGATGGTGGCTGGAAATGACATGTGAGCAGCCACTTGACATAAATCACAAAAACAACAAACAGGGGTGTGTATATATATATATATATATATATATATATATATATATATATATTATATATCAAAATTAGAAATAAAATTATTTTTTTATTTTATTTATAGATCCAGCTGTACTTTTATTTTCATACTATTTTTTTTTTTTTTTTTTTTTTTTTTCCGTCGGTTTTTTCCTGGCTACTTTTAGCTGCAACTTGTCAAACTGGTTCAAAAATCTTTATTGCACATTAGACATTGGTTTATTTTTTTTCATCCACATGGGTAGAAGCATCTCTAAAGATTGTGGAAACACTTTCAGAACAAGGAAAATTTGATGCTTAATTCTGTCACTTGACTGTAATACACTGGATTCACACATCGGGGCCAGAGCAAAACTTATCGTATTTATCAGACATCTTTTTAAACCAAATGTTCATTTTCTATTCTCCTCTGACTCAGAAAACACCTGACAGGTTTTGTGTCTAAACCTTCATCTTTTGCAGAGCACCACGTGATGTCGTCCTTCAAGAGGAACCCCTTGGAGCAGGCTTTCCGTAGGCCCAACGCCAACATCACCTCCAACTACCTGATCAACCAGTACTGGATCCTGGTCAGCCACAAGTTCCCCGCCCTCATCTACGACCTCTTCCTGCGTCTCTCTGGACAGAAACCGCAGTAAGACCCAAAGATGTCTGTCGTAACTTGATATCTAAAGAAAAGTTCAACCGTGGCGTGACCTCTGACTCTCTTTCTCGCTATAGGATGATGCGCATCTTTAATCGTCTGCACAAGGCCATCGGCCTGCTGGAGTACTTCAGCAGCCAGGACTGGGAGTGGAACTCGGAGAACATGAGCATGCTGATGAGCCAGCTGACACCTGAGGACAGGAAGGTAGGATTATCCATGTGCATGCTGCCAAATATTCTACCTCCTAAGATCATTTACAGGTACCAGTTTGTCTGGATCCATCACATAAGACGGTCTCTACCTGAATGTTATAAACACCCTCTCATCCAACTGCTGCTCTGTGCAGGTTACAATAAACAAGGAAATACAGAGGTAGAAAATGATTAAGCACAGTAACTTGAGTACTGTACTTGTACTTTCAATATTTTATGCCACTTTATTCTTATATTTCACCATATTGGAGTGGGAAATATTAGTACATACTATATTTACATGACTGCTATAGTTACCAAGAATAAGATTATTCAGAAAAACACATGATCAGTCTATAAATATGATTAACTGCTATAGATTAAACCACTTAGTGCAATACATGTTAAGTTTGACTTCATATTGACCAAGTGTGTGTATGTGTATGTGTATATATATACAGTATGTATAAGTTACCACCAGTACTTTTAGTTTTTTTTCATTTAAACCTGATATGTGTGAGAGAGAGCACTCAGGGAATATAATGCATATGAGGAAGCCCACTGCTCCATCTTGTGGGTGAAAGTGGAATTTTACCTTCATTTTTAACAGAGCAGTAGTTTTGGGTTTTGCCTTGGTATCAACATCCATGTTTTGTTTTCTCTTTTTCTTTTTCTTGCAGACATTTAACTTTGACGTGCGTCAGCTGAACTGGCCTGAGTACATTGAGAATTACTGCATCGGCACCAAGAAGTACGTCCTGAACGAAGACATGTCTGACATTCCCGCTGCCAGGCAGCATCTGAGGAAGTAAGTAATCAAGAGAATCCAACCAGCACACAGCGTCAAGGAGTGATCAGTCTGTACACCAGCCAAAGGACTGTTTTGACTATAAAACTATGGTTTACAGCGCAATAACATTGTTTTAGTAAATAACAAGAATTTGCACTCGGTGGTGGCTGTTTTGATCACACCATCAGACATGAAATAACACAGGTTATCTTCATGACTTTAGTTCAACAGAAATTCCCCTTACCGTCTTTTCTACTTCTACATGAACTGTACATGACTTTAAAAACAAAAAAAAACTTAAAAAACTTTAAATAAATTGTTAAATTAAATTGTTTTATTCGCTTTGTCCTTGGGTGTCTTGAAAGGCATTCATGTAGAATTCATATTATGTTCAATGTTTTATCATCACCTGTGTTTCTCATTCCTCCTCCTCCCTTTCCTATTTTCCCAGACTGAGGAACATCCGCTACACCTTCAACACCCTGTTGGTCATTTTCATCTGGAGGGTGTTTATCGCCCGCTCCCAGATGGCCAGAAACATCTGGTACTTTGTGGTCAGCCTGTGTTTCAAGTTCCTCTCCTACTTCCGCGCATCCAGCACCTTAACCAACTGAGTCTTCCTCAGCACCTCATCCAGAGACAGCAGCCCCTCGCCTTTAGCCATCAGCAGGACAAAACATCTGAGACTCTGACCATCCACCAATGACACTCCAAATCCTCCTTTAGTGTGGATTAGCGGGGCTCTCTACAGGTGGGGGCTGCAGTTGAGTGAAGCACTCAGGAGGGAGGAAAAAAAAGAGGTCTACTAGCCATGAATTATTTGTTTAGTTTGGAAATCTGTCATCAGTACTTGCACTGTTCAGTCACCAAACCCCGTCCAAAAAAAGTGTTGTCGTTCATTTTGAACCTACCATTTTCTTCTCAAAGTGGCCAATTATATATGCAACAATAAGCCTTTTGTGTGACTTCCACTTTCTTTTCCACGTCATTGTTTCCATCCTCTTGAATCTAGGTACATTGCCTTGCCTTGTGATGATTTTTGTTTCATACTTGAAATATGGCAGTGCGTCAGTGGAGGACAATTTCTATAAGATTATTTTGGTTCTCTGTTTTTTACTGTTGGGATATCCAATTCCTCTCTTTAATACGCAGGTGATTTGGATATCTGTGTGTCTTGCATCACGTGTATCTACTGCCTTTTTAAAGATTACACACACAAACTGACTGGTTACCTGTCTCAAGGCCAATCCACAGATAACTGAGACTAGTATTAAAGCTCAAATCTGACCACACAAGACAAATGTATCACTACAAATACTGAAACATACAGATCTACCATCTTTCCTGCTGTTGAGGTTGTCACTTATTTACTATCACAAATGATAATGTCAGTATGTCTTTGAACATAAACCTTGTTTGTCTGAATGCTCATCCACTTTTTGCCTGTTTGTACAGCAGTTTGTACTGAAACTAAGTTTACTACTTTTACATCTTTATACTTGCGTCAAAGGCTAGTCTGATATACGTGGTAGACCTTGGCAGTGTATTATATATAAATAAGAGTACATCAGAGTCGAGTTTATTTGTATAGCCCAGTATGATATATTGTACAATGTTTCCCAACAGTTCCCAACCAAGCCCAAGGTTTCTAAGAAGGCATCTTTCCCAAAACCTTAGCAGATGAAAACTTCAAGAGGCTTTTCAGAGTCAGAAATGCCAGATACAACAATGGGATTATAATAGGTTTAATGATGATATTGTTAGTCCAAGCAGTGGGTCCAGTTAAAGAAGTTGAATATCAGTGCTTCGCGTTATGTCCAAGGTAGCAGGTATGTGAGTTTAAGGGACCAAGTTTGGAGCAGGCAGTTTGGAGTAAGGATTCAGTCACTTTAAAGATTGAAATCCCATTTTTTGCCTCTGGTGTGTTAGTGTTACACTAAAGTCACGGTGGTAATTATCTGTTTTTCTAAAAAATGATAATTACCCGGAGATATTTGGGGAAAAAAATACAAAAAAAACAGAAGATCATTTAAAACTGTACTGAAGGTATTTCCACAGATTCTTCTTGCCTTCTGGATGGAAAAAAATGTGTTTCAGATGCAGTATGAAGAATATTTTTATTGTTTCTGGAGTAGCCTGCGAGCTACCTGGGTAGGAAACGGAGTTGAAGCTCAGGAAATGGGTCAAAAAGCATTTTTACGACAGAGAGAATATTTGTTTTTCATCCAGATGAATAGAAGAGTCTTTGTAGATTTAAGAAAAACTTTCAGAACAGCAGTAGTGTTGTTAAATGACCTAAGTTTCTCCAATATCATTGGGTTGTTATATTTCAAAGAAAATAATGGATACCAATGTGACGTGACTGTAATGCGAATACACGAGAGCCATCAAAGTTAAAAGAACTAGTTAAATTCTGTTTTTAAGCTGGAATTTTTCCATGTCTGCTTCATCTTTGTGTAAGAAAATAAGAAAGATCTTTGTCAGCCAGCTTTTGACAGCAAGTAAACAGGACACAGCATTGAGCAATACTGGTTGCAATATAAAGTTGAGTGTCATCTGCATAGAGGCAAAAACTCATGATGTTGCTGCAAATGAATTTACCAAACAGAAGTACGTAGAGAAAAGTAGTGGACCAAGTATGGAGCCTTGAGGGACGTCGTACCTTAATGGACGAAAAGATGGACTGCTGTTTTTAGGCAGGACAAACTGTGACCTGTATGTTAGTCTGGACCTAAATCACAAGTGCTAGATTATAAATGAGGGCCCCCCTTGGTATTACTCCCTTGAACCCAGGTTGGAAGATCTGTAAATAGTTGAACTTGCATATTATTCTTATAGACTACCAAAAATTGTATTTGACTGTTGATTTTTTTTTTTTTTGCTTGGTGAGTGTCTTCACAGGATTCTACCACAGAGCTTCCCACAGAGTCTACCAAAAGTGTTAAGTGTGACAGGCAAGTCTGATTTTTACTAAACAAACAAGAAAACTGTACAGTGTTGTATATGTTGCAAGGCTTGACTCTTGACCGAATACGAATACATAAGTTATGAGCCTTTTATGGGAGAAAAAGGGACAAAACTAAATAAATGTTTATGCAAAGCCCATGTCTGGTGTAACCATGGTAACTGTCCTTAATTCCAGAGGGGGACAATGAACTAAAAATGTCTGCAGTCCCACGAGGCCTGTGTGATGAAGTGGTTTCATCAGAATTGTTCTCACAGAGCTACAGGGCTTATTGTAACAATGTCTTTGTTATGGAGGTTTGATCTGCGTTTCCCTGTGACGACAAAGTTTTTGCTGTTTGCAGAGCACTGTTGACACAGGAACCCCCAAGACAGGAGCTACGGGTACTCTATGTAATGGCAACACGTGATCAGTGGTGTCATCTTATTCTTTCTGGTGTCGTTTGCTAATTGTTTGACCACCCTTCTATTCCGTGCTCTGGCAACACTTTATTCACGTCTGCTTGGAAAAACTGAAATAAACCAGAGGAGAAAAAGAGCAAGTGAACTGCAGTCCATTAAACTTCTCTTCTACCTCGCGATGTAGATTTACTCACTAAAATTTATCATCAGCCACTTAAAACTGTATCTTCTGTTTGAAGTCTGGGAATAAAGATTGCTGGCATTTCTGATTCAGCTGCGAATACAAGAAAATGTTGAGTATTAAGTAATTGTTCTGAAGCGTTTGCGGGGTTCAAATGATCTTATCTGTCTTAATTCTCAAGCTAGTCTAACTACTTGTAATCCCTTACCAATATGCTTGCCAGTACCTGCAAACAGGGACCTTCTGAAAATGGATGTGATTAAATAAAATTAAAATGGAAGAGCAATATTTTCTAGTCAAGCGGTTTCATCATTAATATAATACAGGATCCACCTCTTAAAACTAGCATCATTTCTTGTTTCACATCTTAGAGATCCAACTCTTTCACAACCATAAATGTTTACAACTTTTGCCAAAAATACATTTCCCACACATTAATGCTGTGAAACAAAACAACACTGGAACTGTTAAATTTATTTCAACTTTTAACAGTGTTGGAATGACCATCTGTGTTTTGTGCTGCTACAGCGAATGGAACAGAAAGCAAACAACATTTTTAAAGAAGCACCATCACAACATGGAAATATTTTTTAAAAAAAATACATTTATGACTGCTGCCACAGGGCACACATTTTCTTAAAGTGCAATGATCTGATGTGAATTTTAAATTACTCAACGGCGCAGTGTTTAACAGACAGCTTTAGCTTTTTCAGCAGAATAACACAATAACACTGCTAACGTTAGTTTAAAAAAAACAACTCCTTACAAAGTGCACAACAATAAATAATTTGTCCTACTGGGATGATAAAGTTCATTATTTCATACAGTTTTGTGAGGTCAGCTCTTCATCAGTGAACCATGCAGGAGGCAGAATCAGCAGTTTGATGATGGCGGAGACTTTGGTCACTGAAAAAGAGCTACTCCCGAGGAACATGGTCATCCAGCAGAGGGATCTGATGGTGGTTCAGATTGTTCATCTGGTTGTGTAGCTGCACATCCTAGAGCAGATTTAGTACAGGTAAATCTGTTAGCGCTACGATGCATGTTTTAAATCATTGTTAAAAGTTTAGACTGGTTTAATACAGACAGAGCAACAAGTTACTCTGATACTGAGCAAAAATATTACTCGCAGTGATACAGACAGCATGATTATTTGGCCAGATAATGGTACAGTCTCACCTCTCTGAGCCTGTAGACTCCCAGTTTGAAGCGACAGCATATCACATCAACACAGAAGCCGACAAGCCCATGGAGCATGCCTGTACAGAGAGAGGGAGCACACGGCGATAAACGGATGAATTCATGGACTTGTTAAAATAAATCCTTTATGCAGCATATTTTGTTTTGTTTTGCTCTGAATTAAAAAGACTGGGAATGATTCCAGCTTCATAGATGCCAGTAACAGATCTGTATTGTCCAATAACACAAATTAACAGGATGGTACTGCAGGCTACAGCGGGCTTGCCTGTCGTGGAGAATATGCCCCCGATAATGCCACACAGTCGCACCAGGAACTGCCACAGTGGCATATGCTGCTCGCTGACCGTCACCATCAGAGAGCTGGTGTCATACTTCACAAAGATGCCGGAAACACCGTGACTTCCTGCTGCGTGGTTTATCACCCGCTCCTTGGAAACAGACAGTCTGGTGTTTAGTGCTCCCCACAGTTTCCCTTAAACCCTTAATTCTCTGTGAGCCTCTCTACTTCTTGTCACAAGGCTGGGTTTGTTTGTTTTTTTTTCCTTGTTACTCACTCGCTCAGTCACAGAAAATTGGTGTGTGTCTGCAGATATCTTGTATGTGTTCAGTCTGGTGGGCACCACTGTGATGAAGTACTGGAACATCTGGTTGTCTGGAGTGGAATCACACAGAAAAGAAGCATGAATGAAAAATTTCAATATTTCAAAATATTGAAAAATCAAGATTTTGTGTTTTTAAATTCATTTCGAGGAGGAAAAATATGGAAACTGAAGAAAATCAAAAAGAAATGTAACTTTTATACTTGGCAGTGATCATCTAAGGCGAGCTAAGGACAGCTTGGTCATGATTGGTCATCAAGTCGTGATTCAATAAAGGTGTTGACACCTGATTAATTCTGCAGAAAAATATTTGAATGTTCTAAGGCAGGAAACCACTTCATCATGTGTTTTACTCTTTCCCCTCCTATCTCTGTGAATTGCGATAACTTACTGTTATAGGTGATTTTCTCTGTGCTGTCCAGAGGATTGATGATGCCTGGTATCTCCTCCCCAAAAGACAAATGGTCTATTCGATGGGAGAAGTTGTACGCTGCAACACAAAGATGAGAGGGAGCTCGGGTTCAGTCGTGGCCATGAAGAATCGCTGAAAGCGCTCGAAGTGAAAGTGGGAAAAATGTACTTGTAATACACACTGCGATAGCACTGTGTGAGTTCATTAACTGTCTTTCATTGGTTATCTAAAATGTCAATTAAACTTTGATTGAGGAGGGAAACTGAGCACTGCAGTGATGAATAATAACATGCCTTAGATTCAACATTTAATGGTATTATTGATGTTAAAATTTGTTTTGTTCTGGATAAAATGGCAGTTTTCCCAGAGATAAATCTTCTTCACTGCTCTGAAACACGAGGCTACACAAGAAGTTGTGCTGTACAGCCACCAGCAACTACTGTTTTAGAGCAGTGAAGATTGATTTCTGTTAAATAGTGTAAACGTAGCCATTAGCAAAATGTTAGCACTTTGGTAACACGTTACACTGGAAAATCCCACCAGTAATAAAGCAACGTGTACAGTATGCAAGGGTTTAATTTTAAGGGGAGGAATGTAAGAAGTGTTTATTCCTAGATTTATTGATTTATTTATTTTCATGAAAATCAAATTAGATAATAACACAAAG